GTTAGATACTGTATTCCTTTCAAAGTAGATTAATTGCTACATGTAGTGTTATTTAGGTGAGGTGGCACATCTCTTATCCGTCCTGGACAAATGGCGCATTTGACATAGGTAGCACTATAATGAAGTAATTTTTCTTTTTTGAAATGGCAATGTATCAATATGATTTTTCAATGGCAAAATGCAATTGGACTGTATGTTTGTACCGTGATTAATTTGTTGATGTGTCAATGGCTTCCCTGTTAAATGCTGCTTTTGAAGTAATCAAGTAGATTAAATTGCTACATGTAGTGTTAAGATGAGATGACTGAGATGGCACATTGAGTGACAACACTCTCCCCCTGACGAGTAAAATCATCTGGCGTTAGATAGAGTAAAATAATGTGGCATTTGACCGAGTAAAATAATAAAGTAGGGCACATTGCCAATTGAAGGGTTAATGTGTTACTCGCTAACTATTGTCGATATACAGTATGCTTCCCCTTACAAGCTGAATTTTCTCCACTCATTTAATTTTCTGGGGAGTTGTTTATTTGTTGAATTTACTGTTCAACCAAATTCATGACACTTCTCTCTAGATGGATGGCTGATTTGACACATCAACCCATTAATTGTCAACACTCACCCTTGATTTGATTTGAGATGATTTGCTTTGAGACAGGGTACATGTAAAAAAAACAAGTAGGGTCCACTTAGCACAATACCACTATCAAGTTCCAGCAGTCTCTTCTTGTGGAATAAAATAACACTGAAAGGGTACAATGCTACTTAAAGAGTTAAAGGACTACAGTAACCGAACACACTGACAGGTGCTACAGTTAACCCATTAATGGACAAAAATCTTCCCTTGACAAGTACCTGTAAAATCATCTTGCAATAGGCAGACTAAAATAATAATGCAGGATGCATGGGCATGCAATGCACCTTATAATGGGTTAACACAAAGGGCTAATGCCGAGTACATATTTATAAACCATATGAAATTGTCACAGTGTTTTTACTATACATGCATGTAGGTAGTGTCGCTTTGCACATCCTGGGCAATGCTCCCTGATGCACCCTTCTTTATTATTTTACTCTGCCTGACACCAGACAATTTTATTTTGAGGGAGAGATTGCAAGGTTTACTTTCTTAATCGTTGAGGTCAAATTTAATAAATATCAATTGATGTATTGCTCAGAATGCAGGAAATAGCATTCATGACTTCAAATTCCAAACATTGTCTGGAGGAGAATGCCCTATAATAATGCATCCCCCCCATAATAATGCATCCACCTGAGATTTATTTCAATATTTGCAAATATGTTCTGCTTTTCCATACATTTCTCATGGGAGTAGGATGTACATATGTACTTAAGCCTTGTTTTTTTAATACATTAATTAATACATTTGCTCTTTTGTATTCTTTGCTAGATAGATGTGCACAGATCCTCACAATCCTATCCTGGTACTCATGGAATTTTCTTCAATCTTACATCATATGTCTCCTGTAGACACAAACCTTGTAATGGAAGAAAATTAGTGGATGACCCTGAATGCCTTTATAAGTGCCATTTACGGAGGAAAGATTTTCCGAAGGAAGAACGGACTGTGATAGTGTGATTGAAGGTTAAATGAACAAATAATATATTCACATTTTTGACAGAGTGGAAATTGTGTAAGCAGTGTCAGTGTAGGTAGTGATTAACGATATTGTTGCATAGAGTTACTGTTGCTTTGTACTTATAAGTAGCGAAAAACCCAAAGAAACTTTACTTGACCTGTTATATCATTCAACTAATATTGTGAATATTCTACATTTTGATAGGGCCAAACTTTTTTTGCGTACCATAGTGTACACAGCTATTTCAATTAATTTCAGTGGTGTAGTGGAGGGGGCTCAGGGGGCTCAGCCCCCTTGTTAAAATTTCATGTTTACTTGGGGGGCCAAGACCCCCCCCCCCTATAATTGTTGAATAATCTTAAACGAGAATGTTCTTTAGAATTGCATCTACAAAAAGTGGTAGAAACCTTGAATTACATCCCCTTTTGAGATGCTCAGAATATTTATATTACTAACCAAAATATCATATTGTAAACACCCCGCCCCTGCCAGTTCAGGACACTTTTGGAGAACAGGGACGAAACACCCCTTGTGTGGGGGGGGGGGGTGACGCCCCCTGTCTTTATTCCATCAGGTATACCAATGCAATTTAGTTGGGCAAATTTTCAAAATATTCAAGTGTCTCAGATTGAAAAGTAATAGTGGTGGGGAAAAGTGGTAGTGAAAAATGCTCCGCTCACCAACAATTTTGGGAAAAGGAATATTAATTAGCGACTTATCAATTGTTCGTTCCTCAGGAACAAGCTCACGTCCCCCCCCCCTCCTCCCAGTCGTAAAACTGAAGTTTTGCCCCCTGTTGGAGAGCCCCCCCTGTTAACATTCCAGGGCTACACCACTGATTAAGGTTGTCCCCGAGCAAAGCGGAAATTGGAAAAGTCGAATACGAGCGCGAAAGGCAAATTCATTAATTTGTTAGCGATTTCCACCAGCCTTTTGCGCTTGTATTCGACTTTTCCGCTTTGCTCGGGGACAACCTTAATTGAAATAGCTGTATAGATTATAGCCTATAGGCCGCATTTTGATTAAAGATCCCAGATTTTCCATTCATATTTGTAAATATTTTAAAGTACATGTAATAAAGTGTATGCACGATTCCAGTATTAAAATATTCATTTCTTTTATCTGCAATTCTGTAACACATTTATAAGTGTGTTTCTGTTGTGGGTTCACTGTTTAGAAACACTGATACAGTATGTATGTTGTTTAGCACACATAAAAGTGTGTTTTAGCAATCCACTATTATGTGCTAAATAACACACTTTTTTAGATAACACACTTAGCAATAACACACTGTTGTGTGTTTTTAAACCCACTGTTGTGTGCTAAATAACACACATTTTTCAATAACACACGTAAAGCGTGTTGATTTTTGGACAAGCCAATAACACACCCTAGGGTGTGTTATATAACACACTATATATATACATATATATATATATATATATATATATATATATATATATATATATATATATATATATATATATATATATATATATATATATATATATATATATATATATATATATATATATGTGTATTATATAACACACTATAGTGTGTATTATATATATAGTGTGTATTATATATACACTATATGTGTATTATATAACACACTATAGTGTGTTATATAACCCGTGCTAATTTCTGGACAAAATAAGTATGTTATATAACACGCTTATTTTTAAGAGTGTGAATGTTGTGGTTTCCCACGTTGACGATTCCACTCGTGTTACGTTATGTAGCGGTTTATGAGTTGTTTTCAGACGAGTGTATATACACTCGTCTGAAAACAACTCATAAACCGCTACATAACGTAACACGAGTGGAATCGTCAACGTGGGAAACCACAACATTCACATACAACATTGCCAGACTAGTAGCTGGCTTTACGCATTGAAGGACTAACCTCCAAAATGCGAATAACATCATAACTTAACACGTCGTTCTCAGCTTCACCTTGTAGCTCAGAAGGTAGAGCATCGTTCTAGAAATGCGAAGGTCGCGGGTTCGAATCCCAGCCGCGGTCAAGTAGAATTTTCTGCTTGCCCGGTTTGGTATACACTCGTCTGAAAACAACTCATAAACCGCTACATAACGTAACACGAGTGGAATCGTCAACGTGGGAAACCACAACATTTATATATATATATATATATATATATATATATATATATATATATATATATATATATATATATATATATATATATATATATATATATATATATTTATATATAGCATGCAAAGAAAGTTATTGTATATTTTTAAATAATTGTTGTAAACATATAGGTAACATTTCTCTCTACTTTTGTAAACCAGGCTACTTCTGCAATTCTACTTTACTTGTGTCTAAATAAGTTTAAACAATAACAATAACAATAACAATAACAAGTAAGTATCGTATAGCTCATTGCAGTATTTGCATCAGTTTGGTTCGAATGTTGCATCTTTACTCTGAACGGAGTGCATGCGTACAACCATGCATGTATTGTAGGTCAAAATCACTTTGTTTGTTACTACTGTATATGCTAATATAATTTGTTCTATATATTGGCAAAATATATTATTTTCACAGACACAGTTGTGTTGAAATGACTATATAGTATCTGACTTTATATTATTTCTTTCAGTCATGGCCTTACTCGGAACAATGAGTAAAAAGGTACTCAGCTTGCTGAGAAAAAGGAAAATGTTTAAAATTTTAATGTTATTGTTTTACTCAGAGGTTTGAGTAGCTTTGTACTCATTGTTTTGAGTAAGGCACTTCTTTTACTCACTGTGAGTAAATATCGCACTTTACTCGCGTTTTAGGTGTCACTGGGAATGGATTTTGGTTTACTCTGAAACTTGAGTAAAATTTTACTCATTGTTTTGCGTAAAACCTGCAGTTTACTCACTGTGAGTAAAATCGCACTTTACTCACGTTTTATGTGTCTCTGTGAATGCATTTTGTTTTACTCAGAAATTTGAGTTATTTTTACTCAAACTTTGTGTGTCACTGTGAATGCATTTTTTACTCAAATATTTGATTTTACGCAAAGATATATATATATATATATATATATATATATATATATATATATATATATATATATATATATATATATATATATATATATATATATATATATATATATATATGTAGCATGCAAAGAAAGTTATTGTATATTTTTAAATAATTGTTGTAAACATATAGGAAACATTTCTCTCTACTTTTGTAAACCAGGCTATACTTCTACAATTCTACTTTACTTGTGTCTAAATAAGTTTAAACAATAACAATAACAATAACAATAACAACAACAACAACAATAACAATAACAATAACAATAACAATAACAATAACAACGACAATGGCATAGACTATCACACATCATATATTATATAAGGTTTTTGCTACTCACCAATTTCAGGAGCAGGCATTACATTGATTATAGCTTGGATTAATGAGAAGAAATCCCATTTGCGCGGATCATAGTTACTGATAATGAATATGTCTTCTTCAGCGCATGACAAATGGCTTGTCCGCTCCAATATATAATTCCTAATTTCCAACAAGAGATCTTCCTCTTTGAACACAACTTTTTGTTTCCTCTTCATACATTCGACATTGTCATCAATCTTGGTACGAATGAGAAAAAATGGCTTGTTAATAGATTTGACTTTCTTTATTAGTGCCAGATCAGGTTCCGTTACTCGGAGTGAAATAAAAATAAGAAATCTATCAAACTTTTCTAATTCAAGTGTTCTCCAGTAGGTTTCAACATCAGGATAGCTGGGTGTACCATAACCGGGCAGATCACAGAAACTGACGTGTGGATTTGATGGATAGGTGTATTCGATGGGCACTTGATCTGTTTCAACAATGTCGACGCTCGCTGCGTGCTCCTCGTCATCGTCAATGCTATGCAACACAAGTAAAAAGTGCTATATTAATGATTAGTATTTTTGCACATAACAAATCCTACACGTTGATTGGTCAAATTTGATGTAATAAGCTGTTATATTCAATTCCAGGTGAATATAACAAAACAGAAATTTTCAAAATGGCGGCTACCCGTTTTGTGGAAGTTTCCTGACAAAGAAATAAGCGAAATTAAAATAAATTCAGTCTCAAAAAACACAAAAGTTTGTGTAAAAATATTAAATTTCGTCTCGCCGAATATTTAACAATTATTCGCCGAAGGCGAAGTGATTACCGGTGAGTATTCACCGTAATCACTGAGGCGAATAATTGTTTTAGTATAAATTTTTAATGAATAGAGCAAAATATCCAAGTTATCCAACTATTAGTTTAATTAAAATTCAGAAATAAAACTGTTTTCGACCGGTTTACGGTTTAGTGTTGCAGTGTTTATTGTACACGCACGCTTTCAAAATGGCTTCCTGTGCGACTTTATTGCTTTATTACTAAGTTATTTTTCTCGATGTCTGCTTAGTATAGGTAATAGCATGGTTTCGAGTGCAATTTGGATATAACATGCACGAGTGAGTTTTTCAATTAAAGACCTCGAAATAGCACGAGTCCGAAGGACGAGTGCTATTTGAGGTCTTTGAAAAACTCACGAGTGCATGTTTATCCAAATTTCACGAGAAACCATGCTATTACTTATTAATAATTTACATAAAAATGTTCGAGACAATTGTAGTTTTAACTTACGCGTTTATAGCAAACATTCCACCGGCAAACTTTTCCTAGCTGGCTTTGTTATATCACATTATGCAACGCTAACAGCTTGAAAATTCCACTCAACTATGTAATTTTTGCTAGTCTTGTTTAAGGTCAATGCTTTTCCATTTAAAACTAAAGATAAAAGCCATATTTTTCACGCGAAAGCAACTTTTACTTCACTGTAGCGCGGCGCCATGTTTGTTTTGTTTTGAAGCAATCTGTGACCGTTACTTCTTTAAACTAAATTGCTTTAAACTGATTGGTTGATTTAATCATCACAATGTTTTTCCACCAATCAGATCAGTTTGTTACAGATTTTTGCACTGTGACACAGAATAGGAAGTTATACCAGAAGCGTAACTCGAGCAAATATTTGTCCGCGTTTTTACAAGCGATTCGTCATCAATCACGCCATCCTGGCTAGTACAACCGGCACTTTGTACCTACCAAATCCTGATAAAAACTTCCGACTGTACTAGCCAGGATGGCGTGGCCTGACGTGAGCGAGTTAAAATTTTCGTGGACTTCAAACAATAAGGGAAACGACTAGAGTTACGCTTCTGGTATAACTTCCTATTCTGTGACTGTGATTACAGATTTTTGCACTGTGATTACAAAAAATTGCACTGTGATTACAGAAAATTGCACTGTGATTACAGAAAATTGCACTGTGATTACAGAAAATTGCACTGCTGTTTGAGATTAACTGCACTGAAATCAACCAATCACAGTCGAGTAATATCTTTATGTATATTATTACGATATAAACACAATGATGGAATGACTTTTTTACCAGAATTAAAAAATAGTTTTTGCTTAGCAATAATTTTTCAGGAAATGGCTGAGAAATTTGGTAAAATGAAATGTAAAACTATATCCTTCGAATTAATATAAAAGTTTTAATACACTTTTCACTTTACAAGTTTCAAAAACACAATAGTACAATACAGCGACAGGACACCATACAGCACAATGAAAACACGACATATCAAAAGAAATAGTATCGTACGTACAAATTGAGATATTTATAGGATACAAAACAAAATTGTTTTAAAAAGAATATTACGGCTTTTCCCAACAGTCGGGATAGTTTTTGCTATTCAGTTCAGATTTGTCTGAAGCGAATGTTTCGGAGTTTTAAATAAGTTTTAAATTGTCCGTGAATATGTTTGACACAGTAATATGAAAGAAATCCTACCTTTCAAGTTAAATACAACATTTTGTGCTTTTTTTTTCGTTTTCTGGGACGATTTTTTCAATATTTTGTCGATTTTGAAACCAAATTTGCCTAATCATTCGTTAAGAAAAGCATTATTTACTACAGGTGGTAGATAATGCCTCAGATTTACTAGTCAACTAGCCAAGTTATGAGAAACGATTTTCCAAGCTTTCTTACATCTATTTTTTATATTTTCCCATTCTTCACCCCTGGCAAACAACCATATTTTGAGATCAGTGAGATGACCACCCATACACCATGCGCCCGCGATATTTGATAAACTTTGGACTCCGCTAGTGCGTTCCTTTCCCCGGGTGTAAATAGCCGGACGGAATTAGTACCCTCTCCCCGGGCTTACGCCAAGAACAGCGCTCCGCGCCGTTGACTCGGGAATAAGTATAACTGTATATTTTTGCGGCCGGAACGTAGTCAAGTTTTACCCGAGAATGAGGCACACTGTTATGTTAGCATTAATCAATTTTTAAGTTGTAGTTGTGATATATGGGTAGCCACTGTAATGTATATTTTGGTGGGTATATGTACATGGATACACATGCAGTAAAGTTGCCTCCTAGCTATATTAAATACGAGAATTTCTGACCGATTGAGTCCACTAACATAGTGACTTAATATGATACTGTATGGTATTATTTACTATAGCAATGGTACGGTCTAATAATGGACGGGTTTTCTGCAATTAACTCTGAAGGAAACGCTCGTTTTCTGACTGTCATTCAATCCTTGAGTCTTGCATGTTCATCTCATTTGAATGAGCCATGAGAGTTAACAGAATGTTCATGAAAACCCTGGTATGCGTGGAATTTCCCTGTAAAAATCATAAAATTTGACTATACCCTCTGACAGCATTGACAAAAGCCGACATCCCAGAACCACTTGATCCTACTAAGGCGAAACGTACATAATTCGATTTCTCATCTTCCGGCTTAGATGACTTAGATGTCTGCTGCTTGGACTGTGATTTCCCCATCTAACTTAGGCACATACAAATCCAGTTAATTTTATTTTATTTTATTTTACGCAATAGCAATACAAACTACGCAATGATGAACAAACCATATACCATGCTGTTCGCTGATTGTGTTTATTCGCTGATCTCATAGTGTTTATTGCAATTCAATTCTTATGCTAATAGTTCTAGGAAAAACTAATCAGCGTTCTGAGTAGCACATATTTTGATAATCTTAATACAAATAAATGTGAATAACAAAAAATATATTCATTCTGGGTTTAGCCAGGTTATTTTGCTACTTTTAAGACATCGTTTATAGCGGGAGGTCTTACTACATTTGAAACAACCCTATTTTAAAACCATTTGCATCAACTTTGGAGAATTTTCAAAAGTTTGTTTACGTTTTAAAGCTTGTTGTGACAAGAAATCGTCATTCAACCAATCAAGTTTGACTTGGACGACCAAGTGCATCTGATTGGCTGACAACAATGAGTTAAAAAGATTGCCGTTTAAATTAATTAATATAGTCACCTTCGGCGACTTTGTGACAAATCACTGATCTCAGATTCATGCACATACTATATCATTGCTGTGTTTCAATCCAACTCAAGTGCATCAAAACTACTCTAGTTCGAATAGATACATAAGCTCCAATCAGATAAAACATTGACATACTGTGTTTATTAAAATGTGTTTATGTCTCAAGCACGTTATACATTTTAACTTGCACGCTGTTGCACAACCGATTAAATGATGGAGATGGGAGGGGAAGGAGGGCGCCTGAATAAACAGTTTATAACTGCTGTGAAGAAGAGAAAGGTTAGGATGAGGCTACATTCCCCTAACATGCATGTAGTGGGCTATCGCAAATATACCACCACTATGTGCTCTTTTTTATTTTGATGTTATCGTGTCTTACGCCCGTATTTTAAAAGTTCACTCACTCACACTCACTGAGTGGAAGTTCAATCTGAGCTTCTCTCGAGTGTCAGTGCTGTTTTTGAATAGCATACCTTTAATACTATGTGACTACACACCCTCCAACTATTCAAAAACAGCATTGACACTCAAGAGAAGCTCAGATTCAACCTCCATTCATTGAGTGTGAGTGACCTTTTAGAATACGGGTGTTAGGCCGGTTAGGGAGCTCAGGGAAAAATAATAGTTTGCCTTGCGAATAATCTCCAAGCCCTCAACAGCTTCGCAGTTGACATCAATGTTTTTGATCTTCTTCAGTGGCGCCGTGGCCGGGGGGGGCCAGGGGGGGCCATGCCCCCCCCTATTGTTGAGACCCGTCGGAAAATTGTAAATTTTGTGGGAAATTGTCGGAAAATTGTCAATGTTGTCGGAAATTGTCAAAGTTGTCGACGGGAGGGTGAGATTTAAAATGTTGTCGTCCGGAAAAATTTTGTTTGTCGGAAAAATTTTTTGTTGTCGGAAAAGTACTGCCCTTGCCCCCAAAAAAAACATGGGTCCCACGGCGCCACTGATCTTCTTACGGTAGTGTGTCGACACTGCCGTGGTTAGATTCAGGCTTTTAATACGTCCTGTCCCGTTTGTTCACACGAAATGGAATCTTAGTTCCAAGAATTAAATAGGGCACGCGATGTCTTTCATGCCTGTTTGCGGTGACACGTCATTCTTCCGCTCACATCTCAGACAGGCTAGTTTGCGTGCGCATTTCTCTAGCCAAGGTCAATGAAGGCAGAATGCTTCAATAATCTAATGTAAATATATATATATTTCTATGTTGGTCTTTTCGCTTCAACGACACAGACTACATGCATGGGATTGTAAATAATTAGTTTGGCGACCACTGCACAAACTCAAACGAGATTTTAGTATGCCACTTCTGGGTTATCCGAGTCGCTTTCAAATACAGAATTTCAAATCATATAAACTAAATAAGGTTTCCAATTCAACATTAGGGTCAACTTTCACATTAAACTGGCTGCAGTGTAAAGCATAATTATATAGAATAATTTATAAAAAAAGTTTGAGGGAATTGACTTAGTGTTAATGAGTCAGTTCCCTCATTTGATACAAATCCTCAGAATCTACCCACGCACAATCCCTAGCTTTTGCAGCAACTTTGACAGTGTAAATCAGCCGAATATTTGCGTCATTCTATAACAAGAGAAGTATAATATCGGCTTTATAGTATAAGAATAATAATCTTGATAATTTTTTTACTATCATCTGATGATGTCATAAGATGAATTGCAAATTAATTTTACTTTGTGTTTTTGCTTCAAAAATTCATCTACATTACATTATCTGGCAACTTTGACGTTGGATGAGGATGTTTGACTATACAAAGATATATTATACAGCTAATTCAAAAAAGGTTGTCCTTTGCAAACCTTGAACTCTAAACCTTAACATAGACTAAGCGTGCAAAGCATAATGGGAGCATCATTTAATCAGTTTAGAAATCATCTTTGGGGCCCATTTCTTAGAGAGGTGGTAAATATCTCAGCCATACAAGAACAATTCATTCACAAATAACTGCAATATTCAACTATTAAGCTTCAAACGTGTACTCCCATTAAGCCGGCTTTGCGCGTTTATAAGGTTTAAGGTTTAGATTTAAGGTTTGCAAAGGACAAGTCAACCCGCATTTTTGAATTGGCTGTATACATTTCTTCTTGCATTATTCACCAGCAATGAGGTGAATAAATGTTTAACCAAAGACCAAAGATGTTTCTATTTTATGTACAGGCATCTTCGTTCGCCCAAATAGAAGAGGAACCCAATCATTCAACAAGTGAAAGGTACGGCTAGCTCTGTAGTGTGGGATTTAATAACTTGCTTGTTTTGTTATCTAACCATCATCCAAAATATTCGATCTATAAATTAAGCTTTTACTATTATACATAATCTGTGAAGATATGATGGTCTGGAAGCCCATGCAGCAATCTTCAAAGCCATAAAATAGAAGGCCTTTGGCTTTGTTTGATGTTGAACTGCATGTGCGTCAGCGTGCACAAATCTATTGTCTCAACTTCATTAATTTTAGATATTATTGATCGTATAGTTACTAAGTTACAATAAAAACATGTGTCGTAATCATGGTCTGGGTTCCATGTTTAAATAAATGGTAGACATGCAGTCGTTGATTGTAATCGCGGTGTTTACAGCTTGCTGCATGTGATCATCTCATTCACACGTTGAAGTTAGATAGCTTCCAAAAAAGCTTTACAACTTCGTTCCTAGGCTTTTTCGTTCGCTTTGGTAAGCACATTTTCTGAATTTTGTTGAAATATGGTTAAAAAGCTGTCAAAATATCTAGAGCAACGAACTGTTGAACGTTTTTATATAGCTACGTACAGTATGTGATTGTCAATAATATAGACTTGAAAGTTTTACTATGTAGTTATTGTGGTTTCGATATTGAACGAATGTCCTGAATTAATATTAGCCTAACATCAATTTCACCGTAAATCATGTAATTGATATTGCATGTTTCCTACTAATGCAATAGAAATTACTTAAATACAACATTGAATTCGCAAAATTACTTTCAAAAACGGCATGTAGTAAAACACTGACTACCGGAACACCGGAACACCACCGGAACACCACCGGAACACCACCGGAACACCACCATTTTGTTTGGGGTTAGGGTTAGGGTTTGGGATTAGGGTAAGGGTTGGGGGTTAGGGTTGGGGTTAGGGTTAGGTGGTGTTCCGGTGGTGTTCCGGTAGTCAGTGTTTTACTACATGCCTTCAAAAACTGTGCAACGTAGTCTTACACGAGGTTGGGAAGTTGTGCTGGAAACGTCTACTTGACATTTTGTCACGTTGCGAAATATTTTAACGTTAGCCTTTTGATCAAATAAAGAGTCAGTTTTGAAAATTTTCGTTTCTGTGCAGTATGGATCAAGATAATGGCTTAACTCTTAAACTTCTGTCTTGGAATATCGATGGCCTGGATGAAGACGACCTTGAAGAAAGGACCGAAGCTGTGTTGGCGACTATCCTTTCAAAGGAACCTGAAGTTGTTATACTTCAATAAGTTGTTGAATATTCGCTGAAAGTTTTTCAAAGAAAATGCGATGGGTAAGCAGCGAGCTGCGCCATGTTCTCAGCCAGCGCGCTTACGACAGGCATTCACCCCCAGAAAATATTCAAAATGGCGGACGGCCAGAGGAGTGAATGTCTCTCTGGCTATAAGAACGTGGCGGGTGCATTTTGATGACGAATCATGGCATGGCGGCGGACTTATGTCTGGCGACGTTTGAACAAGGACCAGAAGTAAATCGAGCCGCTGTAGATGGCGACAGCCGTTGTTGTTTTTAAAATAACTTTCTTGAAATCATGCACGAATGCGAGACTGCATCGACAGCCCTCCTTAATTTCAAGTGCGAACTGCTGACGCCATAATTAATGGCTTAATTTTTTGACGTCCGTGTTTTATGTAATCGCGATCGCGTTTGTCATGATTTGTGGTCATGAGATAAGACCTCGATGGCAAAAATTTGGCATTTTCTGAGGCTTCGTCGGACGACCTTTCTAGAACCTTCACCCGGCCGCATGTAATATTATTGAGGATATATTTAGCAGTTCCTGGGAGATTTTGATATGATAATAATGTCAAAAACATCTTCACATTAGGGTGGAAATTGGCTTGCAGGTTAGGTTTTTGTCAGTTTTATTTACAATTAAAACACGATTCTTAGGGATTACGGTGGCGGTAATAACCCCTTATAAGTTATAGTCATAGATACGTAAAAAGGATAGCCGCGCATGTCGATTTTAGAAACAACTGTTTGAGAATTTAAATAGGCTATCATAATGATAATGGTTATTATTTAGCACTTATATATCATATGATATATCACATTGAATTTAGTAAGGATTGGCTACCTTTTCACGAATTTGTGTCTGCAAAAACAATATTTTTGGCGAAAGAAAATGGCGATATTGACATGTCCATGTCTTTGGATTGTGTTGGGTGATGCCTCTTATCACAAAGAATGGGTCTATGGGCCAGAAATGATCAACGGTAGCCAATTTTTCTCTAAATTTATGCGACACGGTCAGATATTTTCAACTGTTGTCGTAGCCGAGTGATTCTAAACTTCACATGCGCCATCTTTATATTATATAGTGCATGGTGTTTCACTCTTGTATTTATATTCCTTCAGGTACATTGTGTTGTCTGGACACCAGCCACATCACAACTTCTCTTATTTTAACGCCATTCTCATAAGATCAAGCACTGTCAATACAGAAAATTCGAAGTTGGAATACTTACCGTTCGAAAATAGTGTACAAGGACGTCACTTCCTTACATTTCCAATACGTTTTGCCGGTTCTGATATCATTTTGATGACATCACATTTGGAAAGTTGTAAACCTTTATCCAAAGAGCGAAAGAGTCAATTTAGGGAAATTCTTCTATACATGAGAAGACGACGTAACGGCGTTAACGTCATATTTGGCGGCGATACAAATTTACGAGATAGAGAAGTCGAAGCCGTTGGAGGTCTACCAAACGAGGTGCTTGACGCATGGGCAAGCTGTGGTTCTCCTCATGACTCAGAGTTCACATGGGACATGAGCGAAAACGATAATAAAGATATGAATGGCGCTAAGCCGAAGCTTAGGTTCGATCGAATTTTCTTGAGACCTGCCCAGAAAGGAAAGGTGGTTAGACCTCGAATATTCACCCTCATTGGAAAACAACGTTTGAGCGGTGGAAGATTTGCAAGCGATCATTGGGGAATATGGCTGGAATTTAGCTTTGACTAAAATCATTATATTTGTTCTATTTACGAGTTTGGTTCACGAAATGCTAAGGAGTGCTAGACATGTACATATCGTACAGATAGAGATTTTTTTTTTGTTTTACCTCAAAAAGTTGCACAACAGCCTGTTTCATCCAAGAGGAATCATCTTGGATAAAATAGCCTGCAGTTGATTCCTCTTGGATGAAATAGGCTGTTGTGGCAACCTTTCTAGGAAAGAAACTACAAACTATATTTCGATATATCATATAAAAACAAACAAAAAAACTTGTTTGATATTAGGAATATTACGAAACGTTCTGCACTCGGTCTGGGACCTGGTAACGTGTACCTGCAATTTGTTTTTCGTCTTAAAATTTTTACCTGTCGAGTTTTGACGTAGAATAAAGAACAACCAGTTTTCACAGCCGCTATGCTAGGCCTTATAGTTATATACTAAACATTATAAAATATATCAAAACTATGGAAAACAGTTGACAATACTTTGATATATAGCTGGAATAATGTGATATCTTTCAATTGGTGAAGATAAGGGAGTCCATTTTTGGCAATTTATGTTTAATCACGATGAACCATGAAGCGAAAATCGTGTTATTTGTTCGCTGGAACATTGTTGATCTTAATTTGTGTTATTCGCGGCGGAACAAAAGGTCAGACTTTTATAACTTTACTTATTATAAAGTATCAAGCTTGCCCAAGTTCAAGATATCGTCACATTTTAAAACATGGTGATATTACAAAATTGATGCGCCAGAGATATTTGTGACTTGTAGTAAACACCAAAGTCTACACAGACATGCATATATGGTCGTTTAAAAATAATCGATCCTAATAAGTTTTCGTTTTATTAATTTTTCCTATGATTTACATATATGAAAATCGGATTAAGAGAAAACCAAATTTACAAATTTCACAGCTATCATAATACATGTATGTGACAAGACCATATAACTATGTGCCAACAACAAGAAAGCTTCAGATTGATTAGGATACAACTACCTGAAAAATACAAGGAGAACTTCGACTTTAGAGTGAAGGCCCTTCGTCTGGAGTTACTGGATGAAGGGCCTTCGCGCGGAACGTCGAAATTCTCCTCATATAAATTTTTCAGGTAGTTGCATCCCTATCAATCCAAAGCTTTCTTATAAATGCATAGCTAATCTGGCCACAATACCCAAATGCCAATGTCTTTATTCAACTTCATTCACAGATTCTAGACACCGCCACACGAACTCGACTAGCATTAGTAACAGCGACTCTTGCGAGACAAGTCCTGTTCGTCGGAATGTCACATTACGAGGAGGAATTAAGGCCGGATATTTTCATAAGCTGGCCCAATATGTTGCTATGGAGTTGTGTGTGCAGTTATGTTGTCAGGAGAAGGGCTGTGATGTGGCATTTATGATTGGCAAAAATTGCTATGGTGTGAAATGCTTTAGCGAGGAGTTGTGTCATGTTGTGCCTGCTAACAATGCTCCACGAGCGCTTATGATTTCCAAAGTTGATTTCAGGGGCGAAGGTAAGTCACTGAAGTACTGAACTCAATGTATCAATGGAGTGATATTTCAGTTAGAGAAGAAGCTCGTATCAGTTTAGGGAGGAGCTCCGTCATGTAGTGTTTGCAAAAAGTGTTCTTAAAATATATACAAAACTTCCCAAGTTAATTTCAGGGGTAATGGTAATTGACTAAGAAAACTAAGAGTGTTTTAATACAAGTTTCTATGACATGCAAGGTCACTGTACTCTTTTGCACATGGAGTTATAATCCTTTCAACATTGAAAATATAGCATACTGTTAGTCCAATATATTATGCACAGTAGTACAGTATGTTGCCATATAGCATCAGTCCATGCACAACTAAACTGACACTGGAAAAAAGGTGAAATCCATACTACGAAATTTGCAATTGCACCACTAAATCCATAGTATATCCATCCTATTTCCATACTATATCCATACTATGGAAATATATTATTATAATGGATAATCAAAATCCATTCTATTTCCAATAACGGTTCATACAATTTTCATTCTATGACTTTCTATGGATTTTCAAATTTTTTTCCAGTGTGAGTGACAGGGAGGTATATAGATTAGAGAACAATAGAATTTTAAAGACAATGGAACAACATTCAGATCACTGAATCATGACTAATGACATCGAGAATTGCAAGATTTTCAAATCAATAAAAAGATAATGAAACATCCCAATCACTGAATCATGACCGGAGGACTTAGAAAACAGGACAATATTCAAAACAATGAAAAGACAATGGAAATTCTGATCACTGAATCATAGACAACAAAGAAAACAGTGGGATGTTAAAAAGAATGAAAACATTCCTTTAAATTCCCAAACATAACTTTAGTTGAGTTACTGCCTTACTGGGTAATATGCAAATTAGTTTACTCCCACGTTGAGGGTGTCATCATATACACAGAGAATTTATATGTATTATTAAACAGCAAAGTTTAGTATTGAATGGGACAATTTTCGATCACATCTGACTTCTCTAATATGGTCACCACTCTAACAGAAACAGTTCGCTATTTCCAGAAAAAAATCTTATATGTTTTTTATTAAAGATAATCTTGATAATGCACTCTCTAATACAGTCAACGGACACTAAACTCTGCCCCAGAAAAGAAATAGATATAAAAATATTTTTCATTATTCTAGTCTATCTCCAAAAGTTTATGACAGAAAGATTAAAATGTTTCCAAACATCAGTAGAACACAACGTCACGTTAAAAGGTGGCCTTCAAGCGGGAAATTTCACCGCGGTCGGCCATGTTGAAAATATTGACGCATGCGCGAAGTTATGTTGCGTCAGAGACGGCTGTGAATTAGCGTTGATGGTGAATAATCATTGTTTCATGGTTAATTGTCTGATTAAGGAACGGTGTCTAAGTACGCCTGTTATGAATAAACAATTTCGCACCCATATCGCTAGAGTGAACAGAACTAAAGTGATTGCCAAAGAACAACAGACAGGTAAGCATTTTTAAAGTTCTTTACAAGCCTGGAAGTTGTGGCGGAAACATTGTTTCTTACCTATGTTTCCCAAATGTGGGTAAAACAAATGTTTTGGATGGTTGGCATAGAAGAAGACATTGTTTCCCAAGCCACATCGCCGAATTATGAAGGGGGCAATATGGTTTCAATTAAGTTTGCAAACAAAAAATCGGTTTATAAACTCGTTGTTGTTGACAAATATTTTGCTTGCCAGAATGAGAACCTAGTGCATGTTCAGCAATAATGACAGTCAAAGTTTCCAACGATGGAAAAACAGGTTAAAATTAACTGGAACATCGGAATTTCAACATAAACGAATTAAACTGACTTTCAATATCTATCCTTTGGATTTGACTTAACAGCCATATTGTAATTTAGAGATAGGTACGTAATAGGACCTCTTAGGGACTGGAGTATTGTATCAGTTTTTGGTAATCTTCAACATATATGACAAAAAAATTTTTTCAAGTTTTTTTGCTTCCCTACACGAGCGCTATAAGGCAAAATGCCACCAAATTTAGTAATACCAATTTTCTGCCGATCCCTGTGTCAACAAAAATGTCGCTTGTTTAAGCTCGCTATTATCGAAATTAGAACCTTTCATGCAAATAGCCTTTTTGAGATTGTTTACCATTTACTTCAGACTGAAGGATATGATGGAAACTTTTACTCTGTTACTGCATCTCTAAGGAAATCAATTTAGGACAAGACCAATAGAACTACGCAGTTTAAATGAAGTAACTTTAGTTCAGGTTTCTTCATGAGACTAAATTAAATTTTCCAGGTGGGATTTATAAATCACACAAGTGAAAGGCAACCGTGTTTAAATATCTTTAAATAATAATAATAATAATAATAATAATACTGCTCATGTTCGTTATTATAACTCGATATAGTTCGTGCACTCAGTTCAGCACCGGGCAAAACATCAAAGCTGATGTGCAAGAATGGTATCGTACAATACAACCAAACATTATTGGGCGGTTTCGACGCGGGGAAGTTTAAACTCCTCTCACATTCTGCGAACATGTCTGCCTGTATTCGCCTCTGCTGTGGAGAGATGACTTGTGATGTAGCGTTCATGATCGAGAGGAAGTGTTATGGAGTTGTGTGCAGGACGTTGAGATTGTGTGAAACCATTCCGGCCAAGACATCTACCATGTTGAATCATCTCAGCCCCAAGATCTCGTATATTACCAGCAGGAATGAAGAAGGTGAGCTATAATATGCAGATTTTTAGCCATAACGGGAAACTATCAGGGCCGTACACACCGGGGGGGGGGGGGCAGTGGGGGAAACTGCACTCCTTCTGACATTGTTCAAAACCGATTGGTATTATTGGAAGCCTTTTCACATTATTTTTACTGAAGAAAAACTGAAGCTGTCGATCTCATTGCCGCCTCTCAAAACGTTCCAAAACATAGACAACAAAAGTCTCAGTGATAGTATATTATGACGGCAATAAGAAAACGGTTTGATGCAAATTTCACATAATTTCACATGTGAAAGTGAAAATTCACATGTATACACTGTTAATTTGAAGGTGTTAAAATAACACCAAAAATGGTGTCAAATAAAAAGGTACAAAATAACACCTTTTTGGGTGCTATTTTAACACCACTTTGTAGGGTGTCAAATTAGCACCTGCAAAGGTGTTAAAATAACTCCATTTTTAGTGTCATAATAGCACCCTTTTCGGTGTTGTTTTAGCACTCTAACCTTAGTGTTAAAATAACACTCAATTTTAGTGTTATTTTAGCATTACCGAATATTAAAAATGTATATCCCTTCTATCCAACACACAAAACAATTAATAAAATAATCTGTTGAAAAATTTATTTACATTATACTTTACAGCATTACTTATCTATGTCATATATGAAGTTTATAGTAAATTCAGAGTTATTGCACCTAAGGTTTACACTATATAGAAACATTCACAGAAATAGACCATGATTGTGACGCCATAACTCTCCTCGTACTACACTCTAGTCATTAAAGATAAGGACAATACCGTAAACTTCCAACTATAAGCCCTGGGCTTACATTCTTTCGTAAGCAATTTTTGATGGGCTTATATAAGGGGGGGGACTTATATACAGGGGGCGTATACATGGACAATCTTTTGTGTTAGTTTAATAGTAATAAACAAGTATAGTAATAGTGATAAACAAGTGTTAAACAAGCATAGTAATAATAATGATAAATAGTTGTAATAGTGATAAACAAGTGGGCTTATTTATATTTGGGTGGGCTTATATTCAGGGGGGGCTTATATTTGGAATGAGGTGAGCGTTAGTACATGTGGTGGGCTTATACGTGGGGGGGGGACTTATACATGGGGGGCTTATATTTGGAGATTTACGGTATATCCTGCATGTACAATACATGCATTACATTAATGATATAATATCATCATTATCATAAATTGTGCATTATCATAAACTGCAGGTTGTTGGCTACATTGCACAATTTGAATTTTTCACAAACATTCCCTCTGCAATCAATGAAATCAAACTTATCTCTTCCAGAGGTCCAGTACCAATAGACAAGGGGTTGAGATCCTGATAAAAGGGATTGAGCATCCTCTACACAAAAATATTTAAACATAGAATAAATTTCTGTACAGTATGCATACACATATATAGATTAAGTTCTTTCAATTAAGTATCTTAATCTATGTTAATTGCTTAATCCATGTCCATAATATAAACACACAGATACTAAACAATTGTTTCTTCAAAACCTGTAATCACTGTAATCAATCATACAGCAAAGTAGACTATTCACTAGCTACAGTTGCAAACAGTAGATTGTTTAACTACCTGAAAAAATAAGAATTTCTTTGAATGATTTTCTTATTTTTCAATCAGTAATTAAACAACCTACTTTTGAAAATACTTCTCACAATTACATACTTTGATTCAGTTGGATCATTTCAATACAGTTTATATCCGTCACAATCCAAATGAAAGTTTATGTTACCGGTGAAGATAATTTGTAACCAATAGAATCTTTGCTGAATGGTACTCTAACCCATTAAGTGGGAGCCCTCTCCCCTTGACAAGTAAAATCGTCTGGTGTTAGACAAAGTAAAATAATAAAGTAGGGTGCAATTTATGTGGCATAGTTGACATGAAGGGGTAACTAGGCACATGAGCAGATATGACAGGTAACCCATTAAGCACCAGCTCTCTCCCCCTGATAAGTAAAATCATCTGGGATCAGACAGAGTTAAATAGTCTGGTATTAAATAAAGTAAAATAATAAAGTAGGGCATATCAGAGCATAATGCAACTCAATCTGTAATTTTCTGTGGTGAGTCGGCTACAAAATGAAAATTGGTATTATTTTACATTCCAAGTTTATTTGTAGATACTGTAATTCATTGTCAATTAATAATTTAACGTCAATTATTGACCATTTATTGGCATTAATTGTCAAATTGCCACAAGATAACAGATATAAGTTCACATAAAACCCACCCACTTATAATGTCGATTCGATGTTGTTGTGGCAACATGAATCTCAGAAGCATATAAACAATAGTATGAGGGACTCAAACATGTATCCTCAATATATTCAGGGAATTTAGGAACATTCTACCTGGGTTGTCTGGATATTAAATAGAAATACAGCTATTTACTATGATAGCACAATATAGATAACACAAAGGAAGGATTGTTCTGCTCTTAGGCCCCATTTACATGAAACCGGGACGAAGTCAAACTGGAAGGAAAATTGAAATTGTCAACATGTTTACATGAGATCAGTGCAAAAATCACAAAATTTTCAATTTATTCCCCTTGCTAGGCAATTTTCTTGTTCAGATGGCTTTTGTTAGCATATGTTGTTCCAATGTCAAGGTTACAGCCAAGACCGGTCTGAAATGTATTTGTGTTTACATTCATGCCGGTCT